CAAAAGGACAGCAACTTGTCTCTTCCCTTTCCCCCAATTCCCTAGCACTGTTCCCATCCCCCAATTTCCCAATAAAAATCTTAAAAAAAAAAAAATTAAAAAGTTCTAAGGGAGCTTCTATTCCAAGGAGGTACCCAGGAGATAGCCTCTTTGTTTAAATTACAGCTCCCCAACTGCAGGAAAGGGTATCAACTAAAAATGGGTCACAGGTCAGCCCAAGATGCTTATTCCTTCACAGTAGCTGGGTAGAACCTAGGGCACTGATAGTCTAGTCTCTAGGCATGGATAACCAACCTTTTCTGTGATACCATGTGTTTTCGATGTATCTGTCACATGAAATCGGTCGGGAAGCATTGGAATAAAGGTCCAGCCAGAAATACAAATCATCTCCCCAAGAGAATACACTCTAAAGGGACCCTACCTTACTCTCATGCTTCCTTGGTAAACAAAGTTTAACTTGGAAAAGTAGAAAATTCAGAGAATGAGAGGGAAGATTGCAGGCTAGAGGAACTTTCTTAAAATTTGGGAGTCTTTGTAAAAGCCTTGAGTTAAGGGAAAGATAATTAAGGGCACCTAGTAAATCCTGCCTCACTTCATTAGTTTTGAAGAGAAAGGAATCCCAAGGTACAGATTGAGTGGTAGCAGAGTTGGGAGGAAAAGGAAAATAAAGAGTTCCCAGCATTTAGTTAAGAAGAAAATGGAGAATGAAGATGGGAAGTTGGCTCAAATCTGAGAAATTACTCTGGGAACTTAAAAAAGAGCTACCCAGGCAACCATCTCTCTAACCAGAAAAATCAGTCCCATTATTTAGGCTGCTCTGGATTGAGACATCTGAAGGAGGAATTGAAGTCACATAAGGAAGAGGTGAAGATTTTTAAGAATAATCCTAATAGAAGAACATATACAGTAGCTCAGACTAAATAAAATATCTGTATGAACAATTCTTGATTATTCATACTAATAAATATACATACATTTAACTCAAAAAAGTAATTATCCATGTTTCAATGTTTCAATTTTTAATTTGTTTTACATGAACTTGTTTGTATTCCTTATATGCATTTCTCAAAACTGATGAAGTGCTCCAGGAATATGCTCAACATTTAGTGAAACTATATAATCATGGCATTAAAAATTATCTTAATCCACAAAAAACATATCATGTATGTGCATACAATTGAGATTACCATTATACAAACATTTCTTTAATATTTATTGTTTTATAATTAATAGAGCACATGTCCTATTAAATTTGCTGATATTTTAAGCCCCTGTGCTGCCATAAATTCTAAGAATACATTGGAAAGGCACTGACCAAACCGGTCTGCTCATAAATGGGCTCAGAGCAAAACTCCTCAGTTAATTCAAATTATTTCTGCTCACCCTTTCCATGGCATTTGATGAGTCATTTTGAGTTGTGGCTTTCAGATTTCAAGACTATAAGAAGAAATATATATATATATTCTTTTTTCATTATTCCAGTCAAGAAAAATCACCTTTCCTAATTCTCCATAAAACTTTTTCAATACTCCGGAAGATTTCATTCAAAGTACATCATAACAAAAGCCTATTAATTGCATTTTCACCTCTTCTTACAGTATCAAACATAGACTGAATTAAGGAGGAGTTGAATCAATTGTATTTTGGGGTTTAACGTTATAGGAAGGTATTGCTTTAAAAAAAAGAAAAAAAAAGTTTCTATGTGAAGCTCTATGCAACCTTAACTCACTGTGAGAAATGCACAGATTTGGAGTTTCCAGTTCTTCCACCTATGGCATGCCACTGGACAGGTCATTTCTGTATTTCATTTGCCTTGCTGAAAAACCACTGCCCTATCTAAGGCAATTACAAATAATAAGGTATTTAATTATTTATTTAGCATTTATTATATACAGCCACTGTGCTAAGTGATTATCTTACATTAGTCTTAAAGATTGTCCCAAATTTTTAACATGTAAAATATGTAAAAAAATACATGGGATATTATAAATTGCTAAACAAGGATAAGATTTGTTCTCAATCTAATAAGGAGAAAAATATATACTTTAAGAGTAGAAATGTTCAAAAGTACTTGATAGTGCAGTCTAGCCTTGGGAAATTTTCTGGGTATAATTTAGAGATCAAGTGATCGTTTTGCAATTTAGTATGTTGTCTGACATTATGCATGATGTGTAGTTACTCTACCTTTAGTAAAAGAATATACTAACTGTTCCCAAACTGCTTCACAATTTACAGAGAGGAGTATAATATACTAATTTCCCTATAAATTGTTAACTAATTTTCCTATGAATGGGTACAGTAGGCAGAATGATTTCATCCTGACAAAGATGACCACTTCCCAATCCACAGAACCTGTGAATATGATAGGTTACATGGCTAAGTGGAATTAAGGTTCCAAATAGAATTAAGGTTGTTACTTGGCTGACTTTAAAATATGGAGATTAACCAGAATTATATGAGTGAGCTCAAAGTCATCACAAATATCCATAAGTAAGAAATAGTGAGTTGAAGGGTCATAATCAGAGAGATGGCATCTTGAGAAAGACTTGACTGGCTCTTGCTGACTTTGAAGATGGAAGGGGGTCATAAACCAAGGAATGTGGGTGGCTTCTAGAAGCTGGAAAAGACAAGGAATAGATTCTCCCTAGAACCTCCAGAAGGAACACCAACCTGCTAAAACCTTAATTATAACACAGTGAGGTCCATTTTGGACATCCTACCTCCAGAACTGTAAGATAATAAATTTGTGGGGTTGTTTGTTTGTTTGTTTGTTTGTTTGTTTTAGCTGAGCCATCCTGCCACCTGTTGGTAGCTCACCAGCAGCTCAGCTAGAGCTGGGAATCGAACAGGCGGCCCTGTTGCTCAGAGCTCGCACTCTTGAGTGAGCTCTTAACCAACTGAGCCACTCAGCCAGCCCAAATTTGTGTTGTTTTAAGCTGCTAAATTTGTGATAACTTGTTAGAGCAGAAATAGGACACTAATACAGTGTTTTTTCCCATCTAACATTTATGGCTGAATTAGGCAATGTGCACTAAAATACTGATAATTTACTCAATGTGTTACAAACTACTGTCTTAATATATATTAAGCTAACCTAACAATCACATTTATTATACATTTTCTTAAAAGAAAAATAATAGCATTATATTATAGTGCAGTCCTGTATTGGCCTCCAGAATTGTAAGAAAATAAATTTGTTATTTTAAGCCACCAAGATTGTGGTAATGTACTGCGGAAGCCATAGGAAACTAACACAGGTGCCAAGGTAATTCAATGGAGAAAGGATTGTTTTTGAACAGATAGATATCCATGTTTTTTAAAATGAACTTTGACCTTTTCCTCACATATACACCAAAGTTAACTTAAAATAGATTATATATCTAAATGTAAAAAGGAAAACTTCTGCAAAAAAACTAACAAGAGAAAATCTTCATGACCTTGAGTTAAGCAAATGTTTCTTACATATGACAGAAAAAGCAAGAAGCATAAAAGAAAAATTGATAAATTGAATTTCATTAAAATTAAAAACTCTGCTCTTCAAAGATATTATAAAAAAATGAAAAGTGAAAACATAGTTTAGGAGAAAACATATGAACTTATGAAACATGAAAACAAAAAACTTATATCCACAATGTATAAAGAACGCTAACAACTCAATAAAACAAACAATCCTATTAACAAAAATGGACAAAACATTTAAAAGTACTTCACAATGATTATATATCAGCGGCCAATAAATACATGAAAAGTTACCCTCTGTCATTAATCATCATAGAAACGCAAATTAAAGCCACATCAATAAACCACTACACACCCACTAAAACTGTTAAAATTAAAAAGAGTGACATCATCAAGTTTTGGACAGTATGTGGAACTGGAACATTCATACATTGCTAGTGGGAATGCAAAATGATAAAACCACTCTGGAAAACAACTAGTGATTATTATAAAGTTAAACATATACTTATATGACCCAGCGATTGTGCTTTTGAGTATTTAACCTTTACCCCAAAGAAATGAAAAAGTTTTGCCACACAAAGGCTTGAACATTGATAGCACCCTTGATAAAAATATTGTATGGTTGGAAACAACTGAAATATTCAACACAGGTGAATAAATAAATTATGATACGTTCATATAATACAATACTGCTCAGAAATGAAAACGACCCAACTATTAATTGTGCAACAAATGGATGAATCTCAAAAAAACAGTAGGTTGCATAAAAGGAGTCAGACACAAAAGAGTACATACTGTTGATTCCATTTCTATAAAAATCTAGATAAAGCAAAATGAATTTATAATGACAGAAAGTAAGTCAATGGTTGACTTGGGATGGAGGATGCTGACTACAAACAAGTATAACGGAACTCTGGGGGATGATATTGTGGTCATGGTTATATGGGTGTTTACATTTGTAAAAACTCATCAGACTGTACAAAATTTAAATATTAAAGTAATTCCTAAGGAAAAAGTGTTGGAATTCTTTTTGGTATTGAATTAAATATTTTTAGATCAATTTGAGTTGTCTGATTCATGCATCTGATATATACCTTCCCTTACTTAGATCTTCTTTAGGTTCTTCCAACAATATTTTAGGTATTTCTATGTAGAGGCCTATATGTCTTCCCTGGAAATACACTATCATACTCATACACAATATCTTTTTTATTTCATTTTCTAATTATTTGGTTTTGGTTTATAGAAATATATTGATTTGTTTTATATCAATCTTGTGTCCATCAGCCTTCCTAAATTCACCAATTCTAGTAATTTATCTGTAATTTATTTTGAACTGTTTATTACATACATAATTAGATTTATCTAAAAAATAATATGCTTTTCATTTTTTCCTTTCCAATACTTAAAGTTTTTCTTTTTTTTCTGTCTTATACAGCTTAGAAGGATCTCCAGTACAAAGTTGAATAGAAGTGATGATAGCAGGCATTCTCACATCTGTTGCTGATCTCAAATGAAAAAAGGTTAAACATTTAACCAAGTATGATGTATTCTGGAGATTTCTTGTAGAGCCCCTTAACAGATTATAGAAATTTCTTTCTATTATTAGGTTATGAATCAATACAATTGTATGAGATTGTGAATTTTATTAAATGCTTTTATGCATTTGTTAAGGTAAATTTTTTCCATTTCATGAATCAACAAAGTTATACAAATAAAGGGCCAGATAGTAAATATTTTAGGTTTTTCAGGCCATCCAGGGTCTATCGTAATTATGCTACTCTGCCATTTTAGCAGGAAAGCAGTGATTAACAATATAGAAATGAATGGGCATAGCTATGGTCCAATAGAAGTTTATTTAAAAAACAGGCTCAGCAGGGGCTAGATTTGATCACAGGAAAGTAATTTGACAATTGCTGCTTTATTCTGTTAATCTGGTGAGTTACACTGATTGCTTCCTAGAATAAATTTAACTTGGTGTGATGCAAATGTCATGTGTATCTTTTTGTATACTGCTTGTTTCTATTTATTAATATTTTGTTTAGGATTTTGGCATACATGTTCATGAGTGAAACTGGCCTGTAATTTTCCTTAGATTTTGTTACTAAGTTTATGCGGCTTCACAAAAGTATGAAAGCAGTCTTTCTATTTTTATGATGACTATGTAAGATTGGTGTTCTTTCTTTCTCAAATGTTTCATAGGATTCTCAAGTGATGATAACCCTGGTCCAAGTGTTTCTGCTTTGATATGGAGATCATATAACTATACATGCTTTTAAACTATCTTCTAGTTCTCCACTTCTCTCAACTATGTCTAATCTGGTAACGGACTTAATCCATGTATTGAGCTCACAATCTCGATTAATGTAGTGTATATTTTTACCATTTCCAATAGGTACTTTATTGATAGTTCTAGTCCCTGCTGAAAATCTTAATCTTGTACTTAATCCCTTGAATATAATTATCTTATTTGTTCTGAAAATCTGCATCTGCTAACTCCTTTATCTGGATCTTATTTAGTCTGTTTCTAATGCTATTGTTTCTCTTGTTCTTTGGCCACACCATTTCTTTTGTGTGCATAGATCATTTTAACTGCACACAGGATACTGCACATGAAAAACTGCAACAATTACTTGAGTTTCTGAATGATATTATCTTACTCTACAGGCAGGCAGTTAATCATCTAGGGACAATAGCCATGCTCTGTTCCAGTACTTCCCAACTTTTGGTCTTAGAAACTTTACAATTATTGTAAAACAATTATTGAAACATACAACAAATATGCCTTATGTGTACTTCCCATTTTATCATTCTTTTTTTTTTTTTTTTTTTTAAAGGTTTTTATTGGGGAATTGGGGGGATGGGAACAGTGCTGGGGAATTGGGGGAAGGGGAACAGACAAGTTGCTGTCGTTTTGTTCTTCAATCTAGTTGTGGAGGATGTTGCTTCACTGGCCCAAGTTGGCACCATCATTGCGCTCTTCTCTGGTGAGGCAGATCAGTCGCCGGCTTCTGGACGGCCGCTCACTGCGGCTGCTGGCCGCTCACGCTGGCTGCTGGCTACATACGGTAGCCCATGGCAACCCACTGCCACAGGGAGTGCAGCCTTCGCCGTCGCCGGCGACTCATGGCAGCCCAGCTCCAGGTTGAGCTGTTGTTCAGCATCTTAGCTGTGGAGGGCAGTGTCACTGGCCCTCATATGTGGGATCCGAACCGGGGCCCTCTGGCATCCCAAGCGAGTTCTTAACCATCGCGCCACTCGGCCGGCCCCGTATCATTCTTAATATTATAAAGATAGGTACTCAAGAGTCAAGATTTAATAAAATTAATAATTTACTGCTTAATAATTTACATACTGTGGTGAGAAAACTGAAACATATGTATGGGCCAGGCACCAAAAGTAGCGGAGGAATTCTGCCAAACTGCAGGCACAGCCTCACACAGGTGGGTGGGCATGAGGACTTAGAAGCTGTTGGAGCCAAGGGCTCACGGATTTCCAAGCAGCTTGTGGAAGAGGGTGCACGGCCACTTCCGGTCTGCATCTTGAGTAGCCTGGCCAAGCACTTCCGGGTAGCACGTGGCCACAGGAGCGGTTCCTCGACCTACCTCTGCAGTTTGTTCGGCACAGAGTGGAACTAGCCGTAGCCTTGAGCTATGGAGTCTCGGTATGACCGGGCAATCACTGTGTTCTCCCCAGATGGACACCTCTTCCAAGTGGAATATGCCCAGGAAGCAGTGAAGAAAGGATCCACAGCGGTAAGCGAGCAACTTTTTGACCACCGACCCCTGCCCAATGTCAGGCCCCCGCTGTCCCAGCCCACCACTTGGTGTACGGAGAAAGGAGAGTCTCCCACTTGTGAAAATTGTTTCGTTCCTTTTATTGAGAATGATGATGTTTCTGAAATTTGGGCTGGAAGTGGTGGAGTTGGTAGATTTACATAATAGGTTTCTGTTGTGCAACTGCCTTTGTTTAACGATAGCCACAGGCGCAAAATGTGTGTGCGTTTTAGCAGCCTTGCCTCTAGAAGAGATAATACTGTCTCTAACAATAAGGAAAGAGAAGATTTCTTTCAACCTCTAACAGCCTACCTGAATGCACATCGCCCACTTCCTCAGGAATTCACATAACGCAAGGAAAAATTACGTGTCTTCACGTGGGGTGCTGTTGTTTAATCATAATTATAATAAAAACTAAAAATTGATCATGCTTGTCCCTGAAATATAGAGTAAGTGAATCTAAAATTAAATCCTTGCTGGTGAGGAAACCGTTAAAAAGGCTAAACCACTAGTCGCTTCCAACTGTTAAATATGATTGTCCTAATATTTGCACCCAAATATTTGGCAGCCTTTAAGAGGCTCTAAGCCCCAAGCATCTACACTGTTTTGCCACTTTTGTTGTTGTTGTTTAAATAATACTGGAATTCTTTGAGAGATTTTACCTACTTTAAATTGACCTGTCTACATCTCTGAAAAACTTTTAAATATTCAGAATAGCAGTAACACTCCTGCCAAGTTTTAGTTATATTTAATAATCCTAGTGGTTTATGAAAATTAAAAAGGACAAAAGTGCCCTGGTGACCAAAGATTGATTATCCCAAATTTTCCAAGTCCTAGGCTTTGAATTCAGAAGGATCCTATTTTTTTAACCTCTCAAATTTCATGAGCATGTTTACTGTGCATTTTGGAAATTGAGACACTCGTTACAAGAATACACAGTGTATTTCTAAAGTGTAACACTGTCTGTATTTTGTCTCAGTTATGGAAGGAAATAATTCACTTTTATTGATAAATCTTATCAAATGCAAAGTGTTAAAGAAAAGAAAAAGAAAGCGGGCTGGCTGAGTGGCACTTTGGTTAAGAGTTGGCTTGGGATGCCAGCTCTGAGCAGCAGCACCCAGGTTCAGATCCCACATGAGGGCAAGTGACCCTGCACCCTCTACAGCTAAGATGGTGAACAACAGCTTGACCTGGAGCTGGGCTGCCATCAGTAACCGGCGATGGCGTAGGCTGTAGTGAAGCTGCAGTGGGCTACCATAATCTACGGTGAATGGCTGGCAGCCAGCATGAACTGTCAAGAGCTTCCAAGAGCCGCCGTGAATGGCCATCCAGTGGCCGGCGACCGATCTGCCTCACCTGGGAAGAGCGCATTGATTATATCAACATGGACCAGTGAAGCGACATCCTCCACAACTAAACTGAAGAACAAAAGGACAGCAACTTCTCTGTTCCCCTTCCCTGATTCCCCAACGCTGTTCCCCTCCCCCAATTCCCCAATAAAATATACTTTTTTAAAAAGGCAATAGAACGAAGCTTATCATTTTTTAAAGTATTTTTCTATTTAATAGGACCCACCTGTTTTGTAAGTAAATTTTTTTAGAATTGTAAATTTAAGAAAAGCCTGATGTAGCTTAAACCAAAAGTGTACCATTTTGATCAAAACAAAAGTTATGTAATCCCCAGTGTGGCATGAAGCATATGGTTAGAAAATAATGCCCAAGTTTTAGAGCCTAAAATAAAGGGAGTAAAGGGAGAAGACTGGGGTATAATCAGAAACCACATTGACTCATTTAAAATATTTTAAGAATGCTATAGAACTGATTGATAGTTCCTTTGTAATGAGCTGTAAAAGGGTAAGGATATAAAAATACCTAGAGTGGGCATTTTTAAAGATACATTGGAAGAATGAGACAGTTTGTTTGCATGGTTCTGAAATTATAATTTGCAACTTTGTATGGAGTTATTCATTGTGTTTCCTTGAAAGTGCTATGACCTTTTACATAGGGTAAAGTTTATAATGGCACTTGTTTATTATTAAAATAAGTCACAAAATATTCTTCTAGAAATGATATTTGATATGAATTATAAGTAAGCCAAGGTTAACCGGTTTTGTCCAGTATGTAAATATGATATTGTTTAGTAATACAAAAAGTTATATGAGCCATAATTAGAGGCCTTGGGTTTTACCTTACAGCATGTAGTGAGATAACAGGCCTGTTTTTGTTTTTTTTTTGCTTTAGTGCACTTTTCTATAAATGAAAAATATCTTTAAATAACATTTTAGAGAGGTAATACGTTTCATCTTGGGAAAAGAAAAATGAATCCTTCATGATATTCTCATGAAAAAGATAAGATTCATTATCATTCTTCATTCTGTCCTTTCCCTGACCCTAAACTACAAGTATTATTACCTCCATATTCCCTACAAATCTCAGCTTCACTGTCTGCCTGTCAAAGTCTTCAATAATCTTTATCCATCCTCTTTAATTAAAGGGGCAGCTTAATGGTTTCACTAATATATGCATCTGCTCTTGTAGGTGGAGACAGGAGACAACACCTTTCTTTCTGCCACTCTCCATGTTTACTTATCCTCCAAGATCTCCACACATTTCTCCTTCATGAAGCCGTCTCTGATCCACTCCAGTCATCATTGATTTTTTCCTTCTTCTGAATTTATCATCTCTAACACAGAGCATTGTACAGTATTTACTGTTTAGCCTTATATTCTCTTTAATTTCAAGTATATTTAATTGTCTTCTCACACCAACTGGACAGTAAGATCTTTGAGAATCTAGATGGTAAATCTATTTCTACTACATGATATACAGTGGAGGGGCTAGGAAGGAAGTAACATTTAAGTAATACATAGTTTGTACTATTTATTTTATGTACATTATCTAATGTTAAGGGCAGTATTTAATCCCCTTTCTATATATGTGGGATCTATAATTCAGAGCTTTCATAGCTTGCTGAAGGTACCCAGCTGGAAAGTGATAGAGCCCATATTTACACATTTAAATTTTTCTAGTTCCAAAGCCTCTGCTCTTCGTATTGTATCATGCAGTTTATTCAATAAATATTTACATATTAATTAGTTATCATTATCATGAATGTGGAACCCAGATAAATAACATGGGGGACAGTTAACTTCTCTAAGTTTTAGTTTCTGTAACAGTAAAATAGGTATTACAATAGCACTTGCTTCATGGGGTTCATGTGACAGTCGAATGAGGTAATAATACATGTTAAGTGTCTCACACATTGTCTGGTTCACAGCAAGTACTTAATAAATGGTAGCTATTATTATTTATTACCCCTTTGTTTTCTCTTTTCCCTTCAATTTGTCTATGGTTCTTCCAGCATATTCATTTATTATTTCAAGACATTTTTGTTGAACATGTATATCTGCCAAATGTAGTGCTGGGCCCCAGAGTTTCATAATGAGAAAAGAGACTCCATTCTTGTCCTCGGAGAATGTAGCAGAATATTAGATGATCAAATAAATACCCCTAACAAGACCTAATTAGTATTATATATAATGGACAGAGTATGGGGCATCATGGGACCTCTACATGTTAGGGAGGTTCCCCTGAGGAAGTAATGTTTAAGTAAACATCTGAGAGATGAAAGATAACCAGGTGAAAAAGTGGAAGGGGAAAAAGAGAAAAGTATTGTAGACAAAGGAAATAGCATGTGGGAAGACCAAGCAGAAAAAGACAACTATGTTTTACTGACAGGAAGGCATTCAGGATTGCTGAAGCAATGGAAAAATGGGACAAGATGAAGCTAGAAATGGACCAGATCATGGAATACCTTTAAGGGACTATGAGTCCTTGAAGAGTTTTGATGTGGTTATTGTCATTCTCTAGATTATTGTTGTGTATGTCTTTCTAGTAACGGATTACATTTATCCAACCACAGAGTTACTCATATGACACCGACAGAATCATAGTCTCTATCCTCCTGGACATAGTGATGAATATGTGATTCAAATGTAGCCAGTATAAATCCATTCTTTGGACTTCTCTAACTAGAGATAGTGGTAGCTTTTTTCTCTGGGTGACTGTTAGGAAATGAGGCCAGGTTGCCGGTGGTCATCTTTTTTTTCTGTATAGCAAAAGCCTCTGTGCATTAAGAGTAAATATTACCGCCCTTAGAACCTTTTGTCCAAGTCCAGCTGTATGCTGTCTTAGTTTGCCCACTGAGAAATGGTTCTTATTAATACAGGATCTAAGTAGAAGTGCCACATTCAGATTTCCCTTTTTTTTCATATTTATTTTTCAAAGATTTCTCAGACTACAGCGTGGTCTGTGGATTGGATGAAATAAAGACCGAAAGCAGGGAGACCACATAAGAATCAATGGAAGTAGTCCATATGGAAGACGCTAGTCATTTTTACCAGGCAGGGTTGGGAACAAATGGAAATAATACGGCAGATTCCAGAGAAACTTTAGTAGTAGAGTTGATACAATGTGATGATTATTTGGATAGTATTAGGGAGCAACGGAAGGAGAGAAGGAGGTATTGAATATGGAGAGATTAAAGATAGCACCTCCATTTCTGGATTTCACCAACAAAGTGGCACGGCTGTTTTCTTAGGAAATATGAAGCACTAAGTTCGAGGGGATGATAGCTGAGGTTTGGATTGCTGAGATTGAGATGCTTATGGGAACTGTAGTAAGCAGCCTCTAAAATGGCCTCCACCTTTTGGTGTTCATGACCTTGTATAATCCTCTCCCCCTGGGCATGGGCAGAACTGGCTTCTAAGGGATGGGATATCCAAGTGATGGGATGTCACTTCCGCGATTAGATTACAAAGAGATGGTGACTTACATCTCACTCATCCTCCATTTCCTCCCTTTCTCACTTGCTCACTGTGGTGGAACCCAGCTGCCATGTTGTGAATTGCCCTGTGGAGGGGTGTATGTGGCAAGGAACTGAGGGATGCTTCTGTTCAAAACCCAGTATGGAACTGAGGT